GGCCACATAAACCATATCAGGAAACCCCAGTAAGATCACAGGCTTCAGCATAAATTGATTGGGTTGGAATTCAAATTCTTTTTTTTAATTGTATAATTTAAGTTAATTTTACATATTAGCTACAGATTCCCCTGCCCTCCCCCCTCCCACCCCTTGCCCCCCGCCTTCCACCCAGCCCACCCCTTCCTTATTCCATCTCCTCCAGGGCAAAGACTCTCCTGGGGATTCAGTTCAACCTGGTAGATTCAGTCCAGGCAGGTCCAGTCCCCTTCTCCCAAGCTGAGTGAAGTGTCCCTGCATAAGCCCCAGGTTCCAAACAGGCAGCTCATGCACTAAGGACAGGTCCCAGTCCCACTGCCTGGGTGCCTCCCAAACAGTTCGAGCTAATCAACTGTCTCACTTATCCAGAGGGCCTGATCCAGTTGAAGGCTCATCAGCTATTGGTTCAAGAACTGAGAGGGAGAACAAGGAATAGGAGACCATGATAAATGAAGACCACATGGGAATAGGAAGAAGCAAAGTGCTAGAGAGGTCCTCAGAAATTCACAAAGATACCTCCACAATAGACTACTGGCAATGGTCAAGAGAAAGCCTGAACTGACCTACTCTGGTGATAGGATAGCCAAACACCCTGTCTGCTAGAAATCTCATCCAATGACTGGGGGAAGCAGATGCAAAGATCCACAGCCAGGCCCCAGGTGGAGCTCTGGGAGTTCAAATGGCGAGAAAGAGGAGGGATTGTATGAGCGAGAATTGTTGAGACCAAGATTGGAAAAAGCACAGGGACAAATAGCCAAACTAATGGAAACACATGAACTATGAACCAATAGCTGAGGAATTCAAATTCTACCATTCATATCTTGGGTATCCTAAAAGAAGCTACTTAAGACCTCCAAGATTCAGTTATTCCATCTATGAAATGAGAACGATAACTACCTCCCAGGATTCTTGGTGCTGTACTTGTCAGATGTCAGCATAGTGTTGTGTTAACAAATGGAAACAGCCTTTATTGTGATCACTGTCAGAAGCAGTTCATTGTCAACATCCTTTGTGCTAACTATTCTAAAAGAATAGTCAAAAGCCCTTAAGGAAGCAAAGAGACAAGGAGGGATGAGGAGGAAGAAGAGAATGAGGAGGAGAAGGAGAAACTTCAGTGTGGGCAGGTGAGAAGGATGAGAGAGAAAGCCACCAAGAATAAAATGTTAGCTGGGCATGACGGCACAGACCTTTGAATTCCAGCACTTGAGAGGAAGAGGCAGGCGGACTCTATGAGTTAAAAGCCAGCCTTGTCTACATAGAGAGTTCCAGGTCAGTGGGGTTACACGATGAGGCCCTGTTTTTTTGTTTTGTTTTGTTTTGTTTTGTTTTTAATTAAAATGTTAAAGAAACCAATGACAGAAGAAGGCTGGGAACTCCAGAACAAAAGCCACATTTAAGGGACAAAGTAAGTGCTATGGAAGGGGTCCGTAAAGGGTTAGAACTCTCAAGGTCCTGTGCTCTTGAGCCTCCAACCTTCCCCAACCCTGTTCCACTTCCACCCTGGAAGTGATCTCTATTTGTGCTTCTCTGTGTGCCTCTGGTCCAATTCTTTGCTCCAGGACAAAAGAACCTGGGAATCTCCAAGGGAGCCCTTTGGGCTCAGGTCCACATTCAGAACTCTACGATAGACTATTGTTTCACAAGGTCCCATCTTTCTAGAATGAGAAAGGCAGGTGGGGGCCAGGGGTCATGCACAGGACAGAAACTTCATAACTGGGCTGCCAGGCTTCAATTTCTCATGGGCGTTCTCTAATCCAGTCTGGTGATATGAAGATGGAATGCAACTCAGGATGGGGCAGAACATCTGGTGTTGGGCAGACAGGGTGTGACTTTGGTCCCAGAGGTCTCCTCTACATAGAGAAACCAACACGAAACATTAGGTGGCCTGTGGAGCAGTGAGGAGAGATGGGCAGTCCATCAGGTCACACAGGGACTTGTAGTCCAGAGCAGTGACCTCAGACACTGGCGTCCAAGCCCCTCAACCTCTGCCATGATTCCAGGATAGGACAAATTCACCAGGCCCAACTTCACACATCACCATCTACATGGTCAGTGCTTGGTTCCTAAGGAAACAAAACAAAACAATACACTAGGCTCTGGAGGAAGGTCCCACATTCACATAAGCAGATGGCTGAGGACATGGTGATAGCTAGAGCACACCAGTTGAGCATAAGTCAGAAAGCTGAGAGTGGGAATAACCAAGCCAAGTGTGCCCAGGGATATGCAAATAGTCCAGGCTCTGCACGTACATTTTCAAAATCATGCACCAATAGGCTAACATATAAGAGAAGAATACTTTTGGGGTACATGTCAAAACTTGGTCCAGGCAAGGGTGGGGTGTACACATGTGTTTGGGCATATCTGCAGGTGCATGTGTATATGTGTGTGGATGTACTGGTGTGTAGAAGCCAGAGGATAAAGTTGAGTGTCTTTCTCAATTGCTTCCCTCACTTTAATATTTGAGACAAAAATCCTGGAACTCACTAACTCTGCTAGATTGGGTGACCAAGAATCCCAGGATTCTTCTGTCACTGGTTTCTCAGTGCTGGAGTTATAGATACACGTCACAAAGGACGCTGCCATGCCTGGCTTTTTTACATGGGAGTTGGAGATCCAACTCAGACCCTCCTGCTTGTGGGGTAAGCATGCGCAATGAGCCATCCCCTAGCACTCGAGACCTTTAACTCATCACATTAATCCTTTATCCAATCTCAGTTTATAAATGAGATCACACAAGCATCAGAGATCTCAAGCACCATGCCCAGTTTTGCAGAGCTGGTAAAGCTTATGTTCAGTCAAAGACCCTTCAGACTCTGAACCAGGCTGGATGGCAGTGGTGGTACATGCCTTTAATCCCAGCACTTCGGGAGGCAGAGGCAGGTGAGTTTGAGGCCAGCCTGGTCTACAGAGTGAAAGCCAGGACAGTCACCAAAAGTACAAAGAGAAACCCTGTCTTGAAAAAACAAAACAAACAACAACAAAAAACAGACTCTGAACCAGGACCTTCCCACAGAACCAAATGTTTATGCATTGTTAATTCCACCAACCTCAATTCAGGTAAAGTTGGTCCCTATGTGATAAGGGGAAGCAGAGTGTGTAGACAGATACTCTGGGAGTTGCATTCTGTATTTCTGGGAGGCCTGAAGAGGGAAGAGTCAAAATTAGACACAACAAACAGGGTACAGGATTACATGTCATTAAAGCCAGATGCATTATGGGAAAGAACATGCACAATGACCAAGCACTTACGTTGAATCTTGTCTTTAAAAAAAAAATTATGCTTCTAGTAATGGAACTCATTTCTCCTCTCCTAATCCATCAAAAGAGTTGCCACACACAACCATCAGGGCCCCTTGGTATCTTTACTCCTGAGGTCTGTTCTTCCCTTGCAATGTATTTTCATCTTTTTTTATTGCCTTGTTATGGAAAAAAAAAAAAGCTTCCTTGTTCCCTTTTACTTCTGAAAATCTGTGTGTGCTTTTATTTCAATCCATTGTATAAGAGGCCATGAACCTGGGAACACCTGAACCCCTAGCCCTGACCACAGGCAATATGTTTATATGGGATATGGTTTGGGTTTAGGAATAAGAGGAGAATGCTAGAACCTCAAGGTCACACATAATTTTGGCCCTAAGTAGACCATTTTCATTCCTGTCTTTGACAAGATGTCTTTTGGAAAGCCATATCTGGTCTCTGTGGATAGTGTGGACTATCCTAGTGATAGGATACATGGGCTTACCCACTTACTTCACTATAATGGGAGACTAGAGCCTAGGAGGAAGGGCCTCTTTCCTTCCAATGCTCATCTTCACGGCCCCTTCATTTTCTGTCTTCTATCATGCTTCATCTGTATCTGTCCACAGCTGCCGTTGACTCCCTCTGCCTTACTGGACTTAAACAGCATCGAAGCCAGTCTTCCTTAGAGCAACATAGTACCAGAGTGCTGAGAGACAACATCCCCTTGATGACTTAAAGCTCTACCAGGCAGAGCAGAACTGAAAATGTAAGTTTAGCATCTCAGTAGAGAAGGCAGTGATCACTTGGTAGGATTCATCCCACTTATGTGAATTCATTAAGTTCCCAGTCCCCAGCCTCTATCTATGGCTACCTAAATCACAAGAATAGGCTTAAATACTGGCTTGTTCATCCTACTTAAAAATGGGACTTTTGTCTGCACTTTCTTATCTCTTAAGGGTAGTGGCAACAAAATGCAAAAAATATATGCAGAAGCAATTTAAACCCATATATTATCTCTCTGACCAAGACTCTAAAGTATCATCACATCCCCCTAGGCATTGTGCACCCTCCACGTTTAGAAACATAAATATTCAATCCCTTTTGAATGGAGTCCTACATTCATATGCAATGTCTCCAACCTCTTGCTTCTCACTGCCTCCATTATCAAAATGATCCTTTTACAGCTAGCCTACCTACCACTGCTAGGCAAAAGTGCTATTACTAAAATACCACCATTCCATGCCCATAACCTCATACCCAGCACAATACCACCAGGATCCCTGAGGGCATCTAATTCTGACTTTTCCCTTATAAGCCTTGAAGTAGCCCACAGCATAGTCCTTTCTTATGCTTACTCACTGTCCACTCCCTCACCACATGGGCTCCAAATTCCCCGGAAAGAGCCACACCTATCCTGAAGAATCTATAAAGCGATGAGAACATCTGTGATTATGGAGAGTTGCCCATGGACAGCCAGTATCATCTTGGGCCATATTTAATCCCTGTAATACATTAATTTTAAGCTTCCTAATGCTGTGACCCTTTAATACAGTTCTTCATGTTGTGGTGACCCCCAACCATAAAATTATTTTTGTTGCTACTTTGTAACTGTAATTTTTGTCCTGTTATGAATCAGAGCATAAATACCCGTGTTTTCCAATGGTCTTAGATGACCCCTGCAAAGGGGTCATTTAACCCCCAAAGGGGTCACCACTCACAGGTAGAGAACCTCTGCTTTAATATGACCATCTGTATCTCTGACCTAACATCCTTTTGAGTATCACAGAAAACTGTAGAATACAGTAACTTAGCAGATCACTACCTTCTAGTTATCCCAACGTTGAGAATGTCATCACATGGCTTCTGAGACTTACAGAAGAAATGTCTTCACTTTTCTGTAGCGCACCTGTTCAGTGCCCCTACCAGTATATTGGTAAATGCTTTGATTTATGACTTTCTTTGTTTTATGCCTAACAAGAACTTGTAAAACTGCTTCCAGGGTGGATCACATCATTCAAGGCAACCTAAATATTGTTCTTTGGGGCAGGAGAAGGGGAATGATGCACACATACATGTGTGGAGGCAAGGGTACAACTTCAGGTGTCTATTCTCAAAGCCCCCAGTCACTTTGTTTTTGATACACAGTTTCTCAGGACCTAGAATTCACCTGAATAGGCTAAGTGGCCTATCCAGCATGACCCAGGGATCCACCTGCTTCCACCTCCCCATCACCAGGATGACAAGTATATGCCACCACATTGAGACTTTTGTGTGGGTCCTGGAGATCAAGCCCAGGTCCTGATGCTTAGATAGCAAGCACTTTATACACTGAACTCTCTCCCTGGACCCAGACTTTTGAGGTTTTATTTCCACAAGTCTTAACATGAATTTTGTTTATAAAAGATTTTTGTTTGAAGTTTAGGTTTCTTAAATCTTGACACTTGTGTCTTTCACTAAAATTTTGGGACATTTCAACCCCTACAACTTTGTAAAAGAAAGCTTTATTTACTTTATTTATTCATTTGTTTATTTCTTTATCAATTCATTTGTGTGAAGGTATATGTACACATGTGTACAGAGGTGCAAAAAGCTTCAGGGTCCTTCTCTATCACTCTGCCTTACTCTTTTAAGGTACTACCTCTCCCCGAACCTGCAGCTCACACATTTTGCCTATGCTGGCAGGCAACAAGCTCCAATTATCCCATCTCCACCTGCCCTAGTTTTGCAGTTACAGGAATGCACTGGAACACGCCAGCTTGTTATGTGGGTCCTGGGTTCTGGACTCAGGCCCTACAGTTGCCGAGCAAGCAATCGTAGCCACTGGTCAATGGCTCCAGCTTTTCAATTACTATTTTTGAATATTTTCATCCTCTGTCTCTCTTCCTCTGCTTCTGTGATTTTTGTCATGACATTACCAATGATTATCACCATTGTTGTCCTATTTCTCATGCCCCAAGGCTCCGTTTGTTTATGTTGTTGCTGTTCTGTATGTTGCTCAGACTGTGTACATTCTACTGATGTGCACTGCCAATGTTTCAATTGACATGATAAAACATCAAGATCAGAAACAACTTAGGGAGGAAAGGACAAACCTGTCTGTTTATAACTCTCAGGTCACATCTCATCATTGAGGGAAGTCAGGGCAAGAACTCAGGCAGGAACCTAGAGGCAGGAACAGAAGCAGAAGCCGTGGAAGAATGCTGCTTACCAGCTTGATCCCCATGGCTTACTCATACCACTTTCTTATACAACCAAGGACCACCTGTCCAGAGATGGCACCATCCCCAGTCATCTGGACCCTCCCACTTCAATCATTTTTAATCAAGAAAATGCCCTACAGACTTGCCTTCAGGCTGATATCGTGGAGCCATTTTCTCAACGAAGATTCCCTCTTCCCAGATATTTCTAGTTTGTGTCAACTTGACAAAAAAACAACCAGTACATAACTCAGTTTACTGATTCTCTACTAGGCCATATCCTCCTTCTCTATGGCCATGTCAGCAAATATTTGATCATCATTGTCCAAGAGAATATTTTGAGGGCTTTTTTTTTTAAACTGTACCTACCTTAAAGTCTTAGTTAATTCAAGTGTTGAAGTTCAATAACCATGTTCTCTCTATCACTGTTATGTTGGGTAACGTTTTACTATACCCTAGATGTTTGGACTTCTGTATGTATGTAGGAGATTTGATCTCCTATAACTCACTGATAGAGTATTGTTACCATGTTTAGACTGAGAACACGGGTCCTCGAAATTCCTAACAGTTTATCATTCCAATGGCTATTTCGTTGTCAGCCCTTTGGTATGTTTTACTGTTCTGCTTGATTTAAGTGGGGCCTCTGGGCTCTCACTAGCAACAGGAGGTGACAAGAAGGCTTCCTCGGGCCAGGCTGTCTGAGGTACTTGATCAGGAGTGGCCAGGTGTTTTTTGATGGGCTTGCCCTCACATGGGAGAACATTTTCTGGGGAGATGACTCATGTAGCCAGATCCCTCAGCTGTATGGACATCTCTGTGTCATTACTTAGCTGCAACATTTGTGGACTAGCCTCCATAGCATAAGGAAGAACACTAAGGGAAGTGCAAGATAGAGCCACACTGGCACAACCTTTTACTTCAGGCAGAAGTAATGTGCCTGTGGCTGGTGGCCTTGCCAGACGTCTTTCACTGAGACTTGTGGCCTGTCAGAACCAAGTCAGTTTTCTTCCACTGACTGCATGGCCATGGTCATGGATGCCAAGCTGCTACCTCTGGGATTGGCCATCACTCCACCATGTTTGTTCTCCGAATACTGATGGAGTCTCCTCCTCAGTTGAGGCTCATCACCCATTCTGTGTGAGGAACTAAATGAAACAAATCCCTTCCCTCATCCTCTTCTGGAATATGACTAATGTCAGCAGGCCTGAGACAGTCTTCCTTCCTACATGGGAAGCCTCTAGGTCCCTGTCCTGAGGGACCTGCTTTCGTGGTCAGGAAATACAGAAGCCACATAAAGCCAGATTTGTTTTTCAAGAAGTCTGGACCCAAGCCACATGTTAGTTCCAAACTCTTGTTTTTGGATCCACTTCTTTAGTTTCCCTGCTGTGTTTGAAGAGGAAAACGCTCATATATTAAAGAGCTCAATAAATTGCAAAATTGAGTCTGCAAAATTAAGAACTCAGAAAAGAGCTATAGTTTGATTTTTGACCTCTCCTGTCACGCACACATACACATGAGCATACACACATGCTATGCACACACTGAGTATCATATTAACATGTTGATTGGTTAAGCACTATTATAGAAAACGTTCAGTTGCTAAAAAGTTTCCCATGATGTCTGTCCAGTTAGTCCTCTGAGATGCTGCTAAGACTTACAAGAAGTAAACAAAGACTCTGAAGCTGGAGATGCTTTCTTCATGGTCATAAGCTTCACAGCACCCTTTCCCAAGGGCAGATAAGTCCTAGCAATTACAGCAGGGAGGAGATCCTCTACCTGACCACATGGTCTACATGTCAGGCAGTGAGCTCCAGGGATGGATCTTTTGTGAATTTTCAACAATCCATGTTTATGGGAGGTTTTTATGATAGAGGTGTCTTTGAGTGATCCATGCTCCTGGAAGTATTCCTTCACCCATATTGTAAGTAACACGCAATAAACTGACTTGTTCATTAAACTGGACTTGAGTGGAATTATTTCTTTGGGCTTCAGTGTCCTATCTTAGTGAATAGATGTGTGTTCACAGGTCCCCAGGGAAGTCACACAATACTGATTCACATAAAATTCTGAGTATATTCTGGGATTGAGTTTTGTGGACTAAACTTCAAAGCATAACCTGCCACTCAATGGTCATGTGTTATTGGGTGACTCATTCAGTATTATCGTGCCTCAAAGTCCATTAGAACCGAGGACATAAGTCTGAAGATTAACTACTCACCTGCCTACCATATATGGAACCCTGGATTCCACCCCTAATGCTACAGAAGAGAAAACAGCAGAAGAGATACAATGAGACCCTAATCCATGGCTTGTCAACATTTCACAGTGTATATGAGAATCAAATTAGCTGCTATGGGTACAATATCCTAACAAATAAAACAACCGCCTACTTAGAGCATCATTGCATTCTCCGGTGTGTGTTTACTTAGTTTCAGCTGAGGAAAAGGAAAAGTCTCACAATTTAGGTTCTGAGTACTAAGTTGCTGCTTTTTCCAGTATGAACAAGCTCCATGTCGCACAAAAATGGAGCAGGGACGTTCCAGCTTGCCTTGGGGCGGCATAGAACACCTCTGGAGACCATCTGGCAGAGGCTGAGAATGGGAAGCAGATGTCAGGCATTTCCATCATGTCTCAACTGTGGGGCACTGCCAGCCACTGTCCTGCTCTTC